TCCCGCGCGAGCTGCTGTGGACGGCGCCTCTTCACGGGTCTGGCTGTGGACAGGCAAGCTGATGATCGCCTTCTCGTACGAGCTCTCGCGCCGCGAGAGCAAGATGGGCACGCCCGAGCGGCCCATCTCTGACCTCGGCCTGGTCTCGTACCGCTCCTACTGGGTGTACGCGCTGCTCGAGATCCTGCACAAGCACCGCGGCTCCATCTCGGTGCAGGAGCTGTCCGAGCGGACCGCCTTCCGCACCGATGACATCGTCAAGACGCTGCAGGCCTTCAACCTGATCCGCTACTTTGGAGGGCAGCACTCGATCCTCGTCACGCCGAAGACGCTCGAGCAGCACTACACTAACGCAAAGCCAAACTGGATCATCGACTCGACCAAGTTGAGGTGGACGCCCTATCACGAGCGACCAAAGAGGTGACCGGGGCCTAGCGTAGGGCTAGGCCTAGGGGAGAGAGGGCGCAGGTGTGCGTGTTTTTTCTTTTATAGACGAAAGATAGAATGTTTTTTGTCAAATTGTGCATCCCGGTTCCCGCGCCCCGGGCCCCGCCCCCGGCCCCGGCGGGTGGAGAGGAGGCAGGCGCTAGGCGGAAGCCGGAGCGGAGATAGATAAGAGATAAAGATTTATGGTATTTATGGCATATGGGGGGTGTCGGGTGTTACGGCTAGTTCCATTTCACTCTGACACGCTAATCTTGAAAACGTCCAACGGAGCTCCGTGTTGCTCCCAGCGCCCTCCCCCGCGCTTCCTGCGGCCATGGCCGATGATACTAGTATGAGAGGTCATCTGGCTACCGCGAGCGCGACTCAACTCGCCGACGTCGTCCGATGATTGTGCCTCAAAGTCAGCCTCCGGAGGCTATCGTGGGGTCGAGCCGGCAGTAGCCGTGACATGTGGTTCCACCACCCCTCGTATGCTTTGCCTCTGACCGCCACCGTTCCCAGGCTGCCAAATGGGATGGAAAGGAAGGCTCGGCGAGCGTATAGAAGCGTGCTCGACCTCGTCGTGGCAACCTGCACGGCAGCGCTGGTAGGCGCGATGAGCGTCGTGCCACCTGACCCGAGACGGGTCGCAGGCGTCGTACCGAGCGCGTCGAGACCGTGTCCTGATGTGATCTGCACGGGTGAGTCACGTCGGCGTCAAAGGAGCGACGTGCGACCTGTCAGAGCTTGATCTCCGATCTCAGCGGCGTCGAGTCGTCTCCGGCGCGCGACAAAGGTACATCCCCAGGACGCGCAGAGGCAGCTGCGACCCAGCGGAGTGGACGGTAACGCACCGCGCCACCTGCTGTGCGTTACCGTCCACTCGGCGGGGTCGCAGCTGCCTCTGGAAGGCACCGAGATGTACCTTTTTCGCGCAATGGTCAAAATCAAGGTTTTGTAACGCGAGCTGTGCCACAGTGAAATGGAACTAGCCATAGGACGTATTTTCTTCTCAATAATCCACCCCCCAGATCGGCGGCGACCTGCAACGCCGGTCGTCGTCGGCGGCGGCTTCGCCGGCCGAGGGCGCGGCGTGTCGCCCGGAGGCACGGCTGCGGGAGAGGATCTCGCCGATCACGTCGGCCGCCGCGGGCTTAGCGGCCTCGGCCCTCGAGAATCGCTCCTTGTCGGCCGCGGGGAGCGCCGGCGAGAGTGGCGCGTCCCTATCGACCCCGAGCAGCTGCACCCCGCGCTTGCCAAAGCGACTGCTT